CTACCATTCAAAAGTTTAGGATTGGTAAGCTTTCATCTCATGTTCACCAATGCTGCATTATATTTGATCAAAAATACAGTAAACAGACAAATTTAGATTTTAGATTTTTAACTGTTCTCTATGTGAATATCTGTTAAAACGTAATTTATTTCTGTGATGCGCAGCTGAATTTTCAGCATCATTACTCCAGTCTTCAGTGTCACATGATCTTCAGAAATCATTCTGATATGCTGATTTGCTGCTCAAGAAACATTTCTAATTCTCAATATTAAAAACAGTTGTGCTACTTCATATTTTTGTGAAAGCTGTGATGCATTTTGTTTTCTATCAAGTCACTTCTACTGACTCATTGGATGTTTACCGCAAAATGGTATTTTGGACTGACAGCCACACTTACTGTAAATGCAGAAGTAAATACCTTTAAGTGATTTTAGTTGTAGAATGTGTCTGTCACACTGATAAATAACTAAACTGTGTGTACAGAGAAAAAAGAGTGTATGTATTCGTTAACCGTGTGTGTACGTGATCAAATGACTCAATTACTTTATCACTATTATAGAGAATCATGCGAGAGAAAACAAGTGGTTTGTACATTTTAAAGTGCGTGTGAACTGAGGAGACAGTTCAGGGAGAGACTGAGAGATGTTACATGCCACACTGAACTGAGAAGGTCATTAGAGCGTCAACAACATTCACAAAGAGAGAGAGAGAAAGCAAGCAGTGGGAAACTCATTGGGAAGGAAGTATCTGGCAGGATTGGAAGCTTAACAGCTCCAGGATGGATTGAAATTTCAGGATCTTTGTAACAGCGAGATTTAATGACTAAAAACAGATTAATTCAGTCACAAAGAGATTCAAACAGCAGCATTGGTCTCACAGAGATGTCCTCAAACACCTGAGGAGATACTGAGAGCGCAGTCGCTGGACAAACGGCTCCGGTGAACTGCGAAAAGCTTAGCATTAATTCAAGCATGGCTCAGAGAGTCACATCACAGAGGCGTTTTGGCACAGATGGTCTGAGGAAAAAAGCCCACTCAGTGTTTTGCTGGCATTGCTCTGCGCTGAAAGAGAGGAGCGTCCTGACCCGCTGCCACACACTGTACAGGTAGAAACTGTTTGGACAGGATGCAGATCAGCACTGTATCGCTGTATTCATTTGGCATTGTCCTAATGAATGTAATATAGCAGTATTAAGCAGAAAAGAAAAGCATAACTGTTGTTATTGCTCATTATTTGGTATTATAAAACTAGAAACAACCCAGAACACCTATAATGGGCAAACAACACTCACTTTTGAGAATCGTCATAAAATGTTCAAATGGTTACAGTTAAGTTGTTTTTATTAATGCATTTTTTTTCTCTTTGGGCCTTACAAAGCTATTTCTTCTAAATTGTTCCCATTTCCTTCCAGAAATATGGAACAGTGTTATTTTAGTTGCTATTATTACTAGATTTTTTTCTCTTTTTGTCATTTTTATTTCATTTCTATTTTATTTTTATTTTCAAATGCGTGTATATAGTTTGAACTAAATTTCAGTTTATTTCGTTTTAATTCTTTTACTTCAACCTTAACTCATAAAATTGTAAATTTTTATATATTTTTTTATATTATTTCAGTTAATGATATTTATTCCAAGTTATGAAAATGGTTTTAGATTTAGATTCAGTTAACAGTAGTTATTTGCAGCGCTTGTCTCTTTAAGAAGCGTTTCTGTGCTTCCAGTCGTCTTTGTTTGCGTTTCACACATTTCTGCTCATGGTTTGTTTTTGGTGTGGATTTAGTGGGAGTCACTGATAAGAAGGGGTTAGATGAGGACTGCTGTCCCACGTACATTTATAGAAACCAGAGGAAATCGGATCAATAGGGTGCAATAGCAATTTAACACAACTACAAAATGGAAATGATTTCTGACTGTAAAGCTGTTTGTGGTTATAATTTAGCTTGGTTACCACGATTTATGCCAAAATCCCACAGATACTACAGTTACGTCAATGTTACATCATATCATTTTATTATCATGGCATTTAGTTGAATGTAGTTTGAAGAACATTTGTTTAACAATTTGTTTTTGGTCACTATGTAATTCCCATAATTCAATTTGTAATGACTTTATGATTATATTATTGAAAATGTGGGAAATTATAATATGGAGGTGTGTCAGAACTCACCATATATTTTAGTAAGCTTATATATCTTATAATGGTTTTTGTGCTTCTTATAGGAAAGTGCCAAGGTACATCTTGTATGAGATGGTGCGTCCTATTCTATTTCTGTTTTCATCCTTTAAAAAAGCTAAAGTGGTGCGTTGGTTCTGTAATGTACTGGGTGTTATGGTATGAATGATTATCATGCTTTTACACAATGTATTTGCATGGTACTTAAAGTTACCATGAAAAAACCCAACATTATTTTCATTGAGAAAATGTAGTTCAGGATTTGATTGTGGTGGAAGCTTCATGTCACCAGCTCGGCTTTCAGAGGTCATTATTGGCTTCAGCACAGCAGAATGATGTTATTTGTGTGTTTGTTCAGAGAGAAATCTCCTCGCTTTGCTGCGGACCCAGATTTGGATCAGGAGCCGAGCGAGCGTTTGGGTTTGGGCAGTAATGACACTCTCAGTAACGGTAACCGCGCCGATCTGGACTCTGCCAAACGTCTGGCCAAGCGGCTCTTCAACCTCGACGGCTTCAGGAAGTGCGACGTTGCACGTCATTTGAGTAAAAAGTGAGTAAATCCTCTTCAAGCGTGTTATTTAGTATTTCTAGTCTTGTTACTTTATATATGTATATATATACAGTGGGGAAAAAAAGTATTTAGTCAGCCACCAATTGTGCAAGTTCTCCCACTTAAAAAGATGAGAGAGGCCTGTAATTTTCATCATAGGTATACCTCAACTATGAGAGACAAAATGAGAAAAAAAAATCCAGATTTTTTTGTTTTTGTATTTCTATTTAGGTTTAATATGTTTTGAGTTCATTTTTAGTAATTTTTTGTACTTAAACTTATTTCAGTCAGTTGACAAAGCAACATTTCAAATGTTCATTTAGGTTTTTCATCAAGATGTTTTAATTAAAAAAAATTAAAGTTTTTCATCTAACATTTTTATTTCAGCTTTATTTCATTTAACTAAATGATTTTTAATTGTTTCAGTTAACTATAACAATAACACATATCTTTTTTTTTGCTTGTGTATTGATGCATTTTTGTATTTTTTGTTTTAATTTTATTTAATTTTTTTATGTCAGAAGCGGAGCAAGTCATTACATGTTTCTGAACACAATAATACTTTTTTTGGAATAACATGCTCTCCTGTATTGTTCACAATAAAAACAGGAACATGTTAGAAAGTAAATGCAGTCAGTTTTGATTTCATGTTGACTTTTAAGTTTGAGCATCTTCTCTCTGACCTTGTGGTTTGACCATCTCTGTTAGTCCTGTACCGGTCTCTGTGCCGCTGTTATATAAAGCAGGATTTCATGCAGCTTTTATTCTCTGGCTCTGCTTTTATTGCTCACAGCATCTGTACTTTAAGAGCTCTTCTCTCTCTGACAGGTGCATCATGGGAATGTTCATCCAGCGGTGAATCTCTGACAGGCCTTGGTTGCGTCTGTCACCCTTCCTCCCATGTCTCCCTTGTTTGTTTTTGCGTTGTCATCCTCTTTGACTGTCTTTTCGTATCTGACTCCTTTTTAGCAATGACTTCAGTCGCCTGGTGGCAGAGGAATATCTGCGCTACTTCAATTCTACTGAAATGACTTTGGACCAAGCACTAAGGTCAGCACATTAAATATGTAAATGAAAAATGTTTTTCTTTTTGTTTAACTACAAACAAAAATAATTATTATTGAACTAATGTTTTATAAGAAAATACTCTGTATATTATTCGGTGTATATTCTTTAGAATATTACTTTTTAGTCTTTCTACTTCAAATAGTCACATTTAATTCAATGTTACGTATGTTTTTTGGGGGGGATTGTTTTGTACTAGCAATTTCGAAGTATTCTTTTTTTTTTTTTTCTACAATTGTTTCAGTGCATTAACCATACCTATTTTATAATATCACAAGTGATGCTACTAGGGGGGTTACTTTTACTTTTTTAATACTTGAGCACAATTTGAAGTTGTATTTTTTTTTTTTTTTACTTTTACTCAAGTATGTTTTTGACCAGATACATTTACTTTTACCTGAGTAGAATTTTCACTAAGTATCTGTACTTTTACTTGCGTATAATTTGAGTACTTTACACCTCTGCTTTAAATATACACAAAAATGTGTGTATACATGCCCACACACACACTATGTATGTATATGTGTGTGTGTTAATATTCTAGATTCTATTTTTCTATAAATTATTATGTTTATAATTGTTTATAATTAATATTAATAAGAAATAATTTATTAGTAGTAATATTTATATTATTAATACTAAAGTACTTAATAAAATAAAAAAATAATTTGTCAAGTAGAAAACTGGTAACTGGGGTTCCTCAGGGCTCAGTTCTTGGACCCCTCCTCTTCTCCATATACACGACATCACTGGGTCCCATCATACAGGCACATGGCTTCTCCTATCATTGCTATGCTGATGACACACAGCTCTATCTCTCATTTCAATGTTGTCAAGTCAATTTAGAAATACTTGACACCTATATGAATTTTAGCATTTTACATTTATATTTAATTTTCACTTGCATAAATGATCATGACATTATTCAATTATATCATTATATCAATTATCATGGCTTATGATATTTTTTCATCATTGTGTGTTAATGTCAGGGCTTTGTGTGTTTTTTTTTTCAGGGCATTTCTGCTAGAGTTTGCTCTGACCGGTGAGACGCAGGAGAGAGAGCGGATCTTAGCACACTTTTCCCGTCGATATGTGCAGTGCAATTCATCTCTCACGCTATCTGAAGGTACATCTCTGTCTCAGTGTGTGTGTGTGTCACATGATAAAACAGACTCTACATGTGTAAATGTGTATTTGTGTGGTTGTATCTCACAGACTGTGTCCACACGCTGACCTGTGCTCTTATGCTGCTCAACACAGACCTGCACGGCCACGTGAGTCAACTCTATCAAATCACCGTATTATCACTTCACCACACAGACAATAGTAATGCAGGGTCAAATCTTCATCTCAACACACATCCAAGAACATGCATTGGGGTTCAAAGGGCTGAGACCACATATTTTTCCAGTTTAATACATTTTTTACTGCAAATGATATTGTCAGCATTACAGTTTAAATGAAAAAGTGAGTAAAATATACATGAACTTGAATCCTCAACACAGGCAGCAACAGGAGACACAAATCACTATTAATAGTAATTTTGTGCTTTTTGTAATTTTTATAGTTTTTTACATTCCTATTTATCTTTTCTTTTTTCTTTTTTAGTTTAGTCATTTTAGCGCTTCAACAAACTTATTTCAGTTAGTTGTGAAGGTAATAGTTCTAATTTAAGTTTTGTTTGTTTTTCATGTAATATTTGTCATTTTTATTTTGTTTTTATATTTCTATTTAACTTTATTTTTATTTCAGTTTAAGTAATTTTAGTACTTCAACTTAATCTTATTTTAGTTAGTTGTGAAGGTTTTTGTTTGTTTTTTATTTTTTATGCTTTTCGTGTAATATTTATATTTTATTTTGTGTGTTTATTTTTATATTTCTATTAGTGCTATCAAACGATTAATTGCATTTAATTGTTTCCAAAATAAAAGTTTTTGTTTTCATAATACATGTGTGTGCTGTGTATATTTATTACGTATATATAAATACACACACATGCATGTATATATTTCAGAAGAATGTTATGTTTATATTAAATATATATTTTTTAAATAAATTTTACGAATATAAATATAGACTAAATATAAGTGAGTACACCCCTCACATTTCAGCAACCATTTTATTATATGTTGTCAAGGGACAATACTATAGAAATGAAAATTGGATATACTTTAGACTAGTCAATGTGCAGCTTGTATAGCAGTACAGAGTTACTGTCCTCTAAAAATAACTCAACATACAGCCATTGTTGTCTAAATAACTGGCAACAAAAGTGAGTACACCCTAAGTGAATATGTCAAAACTGTGTCCAAAGTGTTAATATTTTGTGTGAGCACCATTGTTATCTAGCACTGCCTTAATCCTCCTGGGCATGGAATTCACCAGAGCTGCACAGGTTGTTGCTGGGATCATCTTCCACTCTGGATGTTAGACACATGGCGCTTCTCCACCTTCCGCTTGAGGATGCCCCACAGGTGCTCAATAGGGTTCAGGTCTGGAGACATACTTGGCCACTCCATCACCTTCACCTTCAGCTTTCTCAGCAAAGCACACTCTAGTTGTCATCTTGGCAGTGTGTTTGGGTCATTATCATGTTGGAAAACTGCCGTTCGGCCCAGTTTCTGAAGGGAGGGCATCATGTTCTGCTTCAGAATGTCACAGTACATGCTGGAATCCATGTTTCCCTCAATGAACCACAGCTCCCCAGTACCAGCAGCACTCATGCAGCCCCAGACCATGATGCTACCACCACCATGCTTGACTTGTAGGCAAGACACAATTTCCTTGGTACTCCTCACCAGGGCGTCGCCACACATGCTGGACACCATCTGAGCCAAACAAGTTTTCCTTAGTCTCATCAGACCACAGGACATGGTTCCAGTAATTCATGCTCTTGGACAGGTTGTCTTCAGCAAACTGTTTGCGGGCTTTCTTGTGAGCCAGCGTTAGAAGATGCTTCCTTCTGGGAAGACGGCCATGCAAATCGACTTGTTGCAGTGTGCGGCGTATGGTTTGAGCACTGACAAGCTGACCTCCCGCTTCTGCAACCTTTAAAGCAATGCTGGCAGCACTCATGTGTCTGTTTTTTGAAGCCAGCTTCTGTACCTGACGCACACAGCACGAGGACTCAACTTCTTTGATTGACCCTTGCGAGGCCTGTTCCGAGTGGAACTTGTCTTAGAAAACCTCTGTATGACCCTGGCCACTGTACTGCAACTCAGTTTAAGGGTGTTACAGATCTTTTTATAGCCTAGGCCATCTTTGTGGAGAGCAACAATCCAGTGGTCAGTATGAGAGAATTGTGCTCAAAGCACCAAATTTTAACTGCTCTAATACAAGATACACAAATTTGTATGGTCCTGTCAAGCAGACAAAAACATGAACATGAATAGGACATGTGGTTTTGCATGGTTAAACTACATACATTCTCTTAGGGTGTACTCACTTTTGTTGCCAGTTATTTAGACAACAATGGCTGTATGTGGAGTTATTTTCAGAGGACAGTAACTCTGTACTGCTATACAAGCTGCACATTGACTAGTCTAAAATATATCCAAGTTTCATTTCTATAGTATTGTCCCTTGAGAGGATATACTAAAATGGTTGCTGAAAAGTGAGGGGTGTACTCACTTTTGTGAGATACTGTAAATACATGTAAACATTTTCAAAATATATATTGCATGTGTGTGTGTATTTATATATACATAATAAATATACACAGAACACACATATATATATATATTATGCAAACAAAAACTTTTATTTTGGATGCGATTAATCGTTTGACAGCACTAATTTCTATACATTATATTACTGATTTTAGTTCTTCAACTTAAACATATTTCAGTAAGTTGTGAAGGCAACATTTTTCATTTTAATTTGCTTAAATTTCATTTTATTTTATGTGTCTTAGTTTT